ATATAGGGAGCGCGCGGGAGACCAGGCGGATGTATTTCGGCTTAGGTAGCCCTTTGCGCGCGGCATACGGTTCGATGCTTAATGCGGACCCGACCACTCGGAATGGGCAAGCGGAGAGCGAAGTTGTCTTGGCCCCTCGGGGCTGAGCTGCCTCTACACCAGCGCTACGGCAGTAACACACTTCTGTCGTATGCGGGGATGCGTCAGTTCTCATCTTCAGAATCAAAACGTCCGATAAGGCCGAATAGGCTACGTGCGGACGTTAAAGATCCTCTTTGTCCTTTCAAATACAGAAAGCATGTCGTTGTGATATTGTTGGAAAAATATCAGAAACTGGAGTGTCTCGGCCCCTCGGTGGTTGTTGTTTACATACTCGAGCCCGTCCCAACCTCCGTACTAAACCATCGCGATCCGACGCTAAAAATGCAGTAAAAAGTTGATAAAAAAATTTGGCAGCGTTTGTGGCAGAGAAACTCTCGCGTATCAAGAGCACTGTCGTCGATAGGTCACCCTAAGAGAACCTGACTCGTAGAAGAAGATTAAGACTAGGCCATGCTAGGTTACCACACTTACACACACACTTACCACTTACTTTTAGGCCAAAGCCAGCCTATGAGTTCGGCATGTAGAGAAAGGTTACTCGATGTGTCCCGCCTAATTTAAGGGTGCAACTCCTGTCCATACAGTGAGGGTTAGGAATCCAAAGAATCGTGCTTGAGCACAGCAGCGAGTAACTAGTAACACTAATATTTTTGTATACTCAGCGTATGTAGAGAGTGAAAGTGTTTATTGGCGTGAATATGTAGTGTAAAACAGCCGATGGTGGGATGTTGAGTACTCGTCACCATGATTAAGTGAATGATATGTAAATAAGTAAGATTGTATTTAAGACTGAGTGAGGGTTTGGCCGGATCTAGGACGTGATTGGGTTGGGGCTGAAATGACCTAGCTGTCGATAGCCACTAGAGCCCTCCTGGAGGCTAGAGATCTGACTTCAGACTGCCAACACCCGGGTGGCTTAACATTGTACACACGTATGTAATGGTTTTAGCTTATGTAAATCTGTAATCAGTACATTTTAAAACATTGGCCAAAGCTCCATATTATTATGTAATACAAAAGTAGAAAAGTTAGAACACGCATGCTCATGCATGGAGCTGGCAGTGATATAAAAGAAAACGTATTTTCATGCGTGGGACAAAACATGTGCAACCCCTGATAAAAGGCTTAGCTTTGAAAAACGAGCTTGAACGACCTTAAAGCGGCAATTCCGACTGTAAATAACACTTCTCGAAACGAAATTTGGTAATCTCCTACATCAAATCATTGAGAAATTTGAATGAAGATCGTCTTAGCAACGAAGAAGGTTGGATATTTCGGATTTTCCACCACTTTTTTAGTATAGTCGTATTGTATCTCAAGTAAGATTTGAATGAATGGTTGCATTAAATGAGTCTTTTTAATTTTGCAAATCGCAGGGCGTGATTAATCTAAAAATTAACCAATAATAGTTAGGATATACGTACGATCCTGGTGTTTTCAAGAAAACAATTCTGAAAGCAGTTTTTATAATTTTATCTAATAAGCATAAAGTTCTTTTGGCAAGAAATAAGTTTTTAAATAACTAAATTATATGACTTATTAGTGTGAAATGATGTTATTTCGATCTTAGTGATATTGGCGTTTTTTGGCATTGGTTCAAATAACGAAAATTATTGAAGTTTAATTTACAGAAATGAGGAATAAAAAGTTTCTGAGAGTTTTAAAACGTTATGAAAAATATTAGAAACTATGTAACAGTCCATACCAGCGTTTTCCAACTTAGTGCCTACGCCGACTGGGAGGCAATTGAGTTTCAAGTGGGTCAATTTTGAAAATAACTCGTTTAGATTTTTATTCGACTATGTGCCGATTCTCATTCATTTAGTAGAATAATCATCGAATATTCGCCATGAAATAACTGAATTTATTTGTCGAACCTTGGGTTATTCCGATCCTCAAGCATTTCGTGCTATTTTTCAATATCGCATAATAATTACTGTCGTCGCTGCAGTTATTTAAATTATTATTCGTTAAATCTTTGTAGTCTGGCTTTTTTATGATTCAATATATTTTATTAAAGTATCGAATAAATGATATGTACATTACTTCGACAAGTTATATTAATTTTAAATGTCCTAATTCTAGAATAATGATAAACGATTTTTTTAAATCTTTGGGTAGATTTAGCAAAAGAGAAAAACTTAAAATAAAGCAAAAATTTCATGAAATATTAAATAACTCCTTAAACGTAATCTTATAGGGTTATATAATTTGTTACCAATTCTGGCTTTTGCATATCAACACCTCTATAATTTACTTCCTTAAATTCTCTAATTTCGTGGTCCGCTTGACCAATTAATATATTACGATTAATTAAGGTTTTTAATTGAGATAAAAAAGTCAATGGCACGAGCGGGATTCGAACCCACGATCTTCGGCTAGATTCGCCGCTGCTCTACCACTTGAGCTATCAGGACCTCGATCCACTCGGACACCAACTTCCTATCTCAACCACACTTGATGAGTTTTCCCTCCTTTTTGCCATTTTTCAAATGTCGTGTAATCGGTTTGGATTCTCGACGACAAATGAAATGGCATTAGTGAAGTGTTCTTCATTTTAATTCATTAAATTAACTAATTTCGTGGTCCGCTTGACCAATTAATATATTACAATTAATTAAAGTTTTTGGTTGTGATAATAATTGGTCAAGCGGACCACGAAATTAGTTAATTTAATGACATACAATAAATAATAATAATAAATACAATAATACATATTTTATTATTAATATTTATTATAATTAATTAAGGTTTTTCGTTGAGATGAAAAAAAGCTAATGGCACGAGCGGGATTCGAACCCACGATCTTCGGCTAGATACGCCCGCTGCTCTACCACCTGAGCTATCGTGACCTTGATCCACTCGGACACCAACTTCCTATCTCAACCCCACCTTTTGAAAAATGGCAAAAAGGAGGAAAAACTCATCAGGTGGGGTTGAGATAGAAAGTTGCTCGAGTGGATCGAGGTCACGATAGCTCAAGTGGTAGAGCAGCGGCGTATCTAGCCGAAGATCGTAGGTTCGAATCCCGCTCGTACCATTAGCTTTTTTTCATCTCAACTAAAAACCTTAATTAATTGTAATCTATAATTTACTCCAAACCTATATAGCGATTAGTTGAAAATATGATGTGGCGTTTCGATTTTTAGATAAAAACAATACTGCAATTTATAATCCCTATCTTTATGTATCATAATATTAATGTTAAATGAGATTTATGAGCCCGAGCCCGATAGTTTAAGAAACAAACGTTTCTAATCGCATAAAACTTCATAATCGAGATCAATACTAGTGATGAATTTCGCACTGAACAAAACATCGCCATGTTTCACGTGAAATAATGTTAACTAATATTTTTTCTATTGAAGAGTAATATATCAGATTTATCAGGTGACGGAAAATAAATACAATGAAATACAGCCCGAGAATTGTGTTACTTAGTTTCTAAGATTATGATTTACATGAGGAAAACTGCATTTTATTTTATATTTTGTTAGATTTGTAAATTTCAATCAAATCTGTAGCAGTTTTTTTCTCTTTTTGAAAATATAATTTTTTTATTATTTTCTTTTTAATTTTTAAAGATTTACTCTTACTGATCCGATCTTATCACGTTTGATCGCTGCCTCTTTATATTTAGGGATGGTTAGGGTTATTTATTAATCTCCCAGAGAGTTGTAGCCCACTTAATGTGGAACTACAACGACAACGGGTGGTACAATGTGGTTAAGGCTTGGGGCCCAAGAAAGGTGTACCTCGTGTCCTCATCCACGTCCCTCTTTCAATAGAGGTGCCTTCATTCTTCCGTGTAACCCCTGCCTACCCTTGGCTACAATGGGTGTGTCCGGGATCAAAATAATGGTGAATGATTATGCTGAGAAGTCCATCGAATGCGTGAGTAGTGGTGGACGGGAAGTGAATCGGTTGTTCCTATTCGAGTATGCTTTGCACGTAGGTGTAGGCTGAGCTCGATTGGAGGCTTTTACAGTAGGCAGTTCTCCTCTAGGGGGTGGTTAGTAATTCCACTTTAACCAAAACCGCGGCCGGAGCGGATCCGGTAGTTTCTACCCTAGAGAAGCCCCAATAGTCTGGAAGGTAGAGTTGCCTTCTCTATCTAGGGAGTGCGCGGGAGACCAGGCTGATGTATTTCGGCTTAGGTAGCCCTTTGCGCGCGGCATACGGTTCGATGCTTAATGCCCCCTCGGGGCTGAGCTGCCTCTACACCAATGCTGCGGCAGTAACTCAGCGGAGGTGCGTCAGCTCTCATCTTGAGAATCAAAACGTCCGGTAAGGCCGAATGGGCTAGGTGCGGACGTTAAAGATCCTCATTGTCCTTTTTAGGACGACCGACTATACTGGCAAGCATGTCTATATTGGTGCGTTAAAGGAGTATAACTTATTTTAAAAATCGAAGAACATCACAAAATGAGTTCTAGATCAAATAATTTATTAACTCTCATATTTCAGTTCAACTCCTTAGACGCGGAGTTTTAATGGTTTTCGGGGTTTTAAAAAGATTTGTCTACTGTGTTTTATCATTTATTCTATAGTGATTTTCGCATAAATTTTATCTTTATTCAGTGAGCATTTTAATATTATAGATTATGTACTTATGGGTTGGGGTTGGGGCAGAAGAGATTTAAAAAAGTCTAAGTGGGACATGGCACAAAAAAGGTTGGGAAACATTGGTCTATATCATATTTCTGATTAATTTTAACGCCATTTTATATCAAGTTATATGATAATCAATTTAATGGTTTTATTATAGTTCAAGTAGTATTTTTGTCAGGTTCGACCTGTGGTCAATTTTCAAACCCTGTATCTTTTTATTTGCCCAGTCGATTTTCTCCATTTTTCAAGTTTTAGCCAATCCGTTAACAGTTTTTTTAATGTTTCAGTACGGTGGGGACGAACCGAGGCCGCTGAGAGCGTCGGAGAAGCCGTTGCAGCTTCAAGACGATTTCCTAGAGCGAATCGGCTACACGGACCAATCCAGAAGGGCAAGGCTCGGGATCGATCCGGACCTGCGATATCTTATCTCTTTCAACACCGGTTTGTAAATTGCAAGATTTGCCAATTTCGTCCCGCCCCGACAACCTTCCTCCCGACCGCCAAGGCCGGCTTTCCTCCCCTTTTGCATTTATCATGCTTCTAGGTATCGACATGTCTGATCCGCAATTTCCTCCGACGGTAAATTTGGTTTTAAGAACCTTAAGCAGTAACTGTAATATATAATCGTATTATTATTAAAACGATGATATTGTATTACACTTCAGTGATAACATATGAGTTTTTATCGTATACAAAATGCCCACCCCATCCGGAGGTTTGTTCTGATATGGTAAAAGAGTGGAACCATCTCTACGACCCTTTAGTGAAACATTGCTACTGCCGTGCTTGATTTCTTTGAAGGATTAGACGGGTTATGGCACCTGGATCGTTTGTGAAAACTCAAAAAAATATTTCTTCCTACTTACTACTACCTCGTCCACACATCATGCTCATGTAGTCCAAGGTTCATTCCAGGCTATTGTTACCCAAGGAATTATTCTGGCACCACTCCTTTACACCCTCAACAGTGCTGTTCGTTCTCTTCGAAGCGATAACAAAACCTTCATATACGTCGATATCAGAGATATGGTCTCTCCTAATCCTCATCCTGTCTTGTGCCACACGATATGGAAACATGGCTCTTTCGCCTTAAATCCAGTCTACCTCATCAATGATGTTTGTAGATCGACCTGCAGATAATCAATGTAGAGTTCAAATCTTCTTTAAGGTCTTTACTAGGGGAAAGAAAGACAAAGTTGGGATCACCAAGCTTTCGGCAACATTATGTTGCCATCATCAGGGCCTATTTATTAAGAAAAATATACATAATTAATATAAATTCAACAATCAATTAAAGCAATAATGCATACTTTCCCAAGAGAGAAGAGCAAAAAATTCTCATCGGAAAAAAAACTAATGTAAAAGTGCTTTGGTTTAGGTTATGAAGCACATGGCCAGCATTCAGTTATACATGGTGAACAAGACATCTATGTAAAGTAGTGAGTAATTATTAACAATTGACAATAATTTATATATATAATAACATTTTTTTTAAATTACCTCACTAATAATTCATATCATTAGAAGTCCAACTTGTTCTTACTAGCTATTTTTGACATTAAAAACATATGTTATCTCAGAGTATTACATTAATGACTAGAATTATAGCTTTTTAAATTATATGTACAAAGGATTACAAATTAAGATGAGAACGCTTGGGCAAAATCCAATTCCGACATTGCTAAGTTGTTTTCAGAGCATCTTTCCACAATTTTTACTGCACACCATGACATACTTGATCATGACCATCAGCTTAACATTGAACACGACTTGAATGTCCCCTTGCAACTCTCTTATCCTCCTAAAGCGTTTACTCCATCAGACATACGACACACTATTAAACAACTACCCTCACGAAAAGCTCCAGGTTATGATCTAATTACAAAACAAATATTACGAAATTTGCCCCACAGAGGATTACTATACTTAACATACTTATACAACGCTGTACTCAGGACCACATATTTTCCATTGAAATGGAAGTTCTCTATAATTAAAATGATTCATAAGCCAAATAAACCTTCTGATCTTCCAAATTCCTATCGACCCATTAGTCTCCTTTCTATCCTTGCCAAAATACTAGAAAAACTACTTCTCTGACGATTACTGCCAATAATTGAAAATTCTAATATTATTCCAGATCATCAGTTTGGGTTCCGCACATTTCACTTGACAACTCAACAATTACATCGTGTTGCTGACAATATAGCCTCTTCCCTCGATCAAAAACAGCATTGCTTGGGTGTCTTTCTTGATTTAGAACAGGCCTTCGATCGAGTCTGGCACTCGGGCTTGCTTTGAAAACTAAGGAACATCCTCCCTCATATGTACTGTCTTATACTGAGATCTTATCTGACGGATCGATTTTGTCGAGTCCGTTAGGGAACTGAATTCTCACCTTATGTACGCATAGGGGCGGGTGTTCCTCAGGGAAGCATACTTGGCCCTTTTCTATTTTCCATATACACTGCAGATATCCCTACACACGTTAACATTTCGACACACACATTCGCTGATGATACAGCGATTCTTTCACGCAATTCGGACCCCTCAATTAACACCCAACACTTACAACAACACCTGAATGAATTAACAATATGGTTCACAAAGTGGAGAATAAAGGTAAACCTAACGAAAAGCACACAGATCAATTTTACCTTACGTAAAAATGTCTGTCCTGCGGTGAGTATAAATGGAATTCCATTGCTTACCACTGACCTTGTGCGTTATCTTGGACTTTTCATGGATAAACGACTGACTTGGAATCCCCATACAAGACTGAAAAGACAGGAAACAAACCGACGTTATAAATTGGTGAAAAGACTACTCGATTCACGATCAAAATTCGACCTTGAAAATAAACATTTAATTTACAAGACATTGATTAGACCTCTCTGGGCGTACGGTTGTGAAGTGTGGGGCTCAACCAAGGATTCCAATTCTCAACGTCTCCAATCAATCCAATCTAAAATTCTCCGTCAAATTATAAATGCTCCTTTTTATGTTTCAAATTACACTATCCATAAAGAACTACACATCCCGTTTGTACATGAACTCATCAAAACCCGATATAAAAAATTTCATCAATAACTGAAAACACAGTAATCTATTCGTACGAAATTTATCACTTCCAACCCTACCCGAAAATCCTCCAAGACGATTGAAGCGAAAGTAGCCCGAGACCTTCTCATTGTGTGAAGATTGAACAAGAATCAGTGTGAAGGAGTGTTACCACTGGGCAACTTCTCCTACAAGAGCCTCAAATGATAATTCAACATATACGAACATATTTACTTAATACATCACTTGTAGTTGTAAATACCAAATAAATGTAATTAAAAAAAAATTAAAAAAGAGAGAACACGACACAACGTCACCTCACCTAAGGTTGGACTGTTACAGTTAGTGAAGGCCTCTGTGCACTCCCCATTATGCGCCCTTTAACGGTCGCCACCTTTTTTCCGTTTTTTATAAATTTCCAATAGCCCCGCAAATGTTGAGATGGAACCTTGTTCGTCACCATTTAAATTGCAGGCACTCCTCGTTAAATGGATACATACCTTTTCCAACAGGAGTCTTCTCTCAAAGCCGACCTCTCGACCCAAGATCTCCGTGGAGTCCAACTTGAAAAAATGACCATTCTTTGTAGCATGAAAGGACAACACTGTGGTCAGCTTTTTATGAACACAATCCAATCTATGTTTGTTCAATCTAAAGTGAATTTTTAGCTTTCTTTGTCCAACATATTGAGCGTCGCAACCACCACAGGACACCCTATAAACCACATTAGATCGTGTGCCAATAAGCTCTTTTGACTTTAAAACGGTATGAAGACTAGAAAGATTATTTTTGTATTTATAAGCTATTCTTTCACCTAGTAAAGACCTTAAAGAATATTTGAACTCTACATTACCTCAACAATATTTTAATTCCCAAAGCAAATCGTGTACTCTTCTTAATATTGTAGATGCAGATGTAGGTTTAATTTCTGGGTATAGTATACTGCGCCCTTTAAGAGCTATTGTATCCCCGTGCTCTGCCTAAAGCACATCGGTGAGTCCTATTTCATCAAGAAACTAGATTGATAGGTCCGGTTTCAGTGGTTCAAGCTCTACTATGGTCACATTATATATCCCAAAATATTTCCTCCTGCGGGCTAGTGTAGCTCGGCAGTTTGTTAGTAGATATGTTGGTATCTCCTCTGCCTCTTTGCAAAATCTGCATGTGCCATTTTGGATTATTCCAATCTTCTTTAAGTGTTCATTTAACTTGCAGTGTCCTGTTAAGAATCGTATTAGGATTCACAGTTTATTCATGCTTCCCTTGACACATTCTGTAATTTTTTTCTTCCAAAATTGGTTAGAAGATTCTTGGATTGTATTTCTCAAGATTGTAACTTGGCATCGATTAAATGGAACTCACATACTATAACTGCAGTCTGTGTACTAAAATCCAAGATCACTGAAATGACTACTAGACAGCCGTTGTAGACTAGTTATAGTTCGAAAAGAAGCATATTACTACACTTGCACCCATATGGCTTAGCTGTAGTCAGCTTTATTGTACAGCAGAAAATTTAGAATCTCTCATACCATATCACTGACATGATTCGTTGATGTTGATGTGACCATGACACCGTTGAACTTCGTTGATGCTTTATATTCATCCCGACACCTTAAATTTTATTATTTCTTCACCAAACTCATTAATAAAGCATCTATCGATACTCTTTCTACGTAGCCATTTTTCATTTAACTCTTTTACTACTAATACCTTACCACCAAGAGGAATACTTGCTTGGCACTAGACCATCAGATCATGTAACAACTTTCTTGTGTACATACGCGGAACCGAGCCTATTATTTCTTATGGTAGGCCGCGAGATTTACCCAACTCGGCATTTTGGTCAGACCTTGGTCTTAGGTTTCAGTTAGGTTTAAGGGGCTATCGACAACACGGTCATTTCAGCCCACAATACATGCATTTGTAACCTAAACTAACTCACTCTTTCTTAAAAACTTTTCTTTTTAATAACATACCTTTCACTGAAAAGTAGGATAATGGAGTTCTAAATATTCTTCCTTTTATACGCATAAAGATAATTATACTTACAAGATTGAGATTCGATGGGGTTAACTGATATTCCTCCATCGACACTCTTCTACTGCACCATATTCACGCATATAAACACATTCTCATGAAACAGTTAAAACATGAATTTAAGTAAGTGGAGGTTCTCCGGGGCCGTCTACCAATCGTCAACGCACAAGACCTTCTGAGACGACCTGGTCCATTGACTCTGCTGTGGTTTACGATATTCTTTATAGATCAGAGTTGTTTAGAGTCAGCGGGTCGATTAGCGATAGGAATCTGAACCGTCCCGCTTTCGACGTATCGTCGGCATTCGTTGTTGTCCTGGCCCGACGTGTCTACGTTCCCAG